GTAATGTGTGGGTGAGTATATGTTATGGGTGTAGTGTGTGGGTGAGTATATGTTGTGGGTGTAGTGTGTGGGTGAGTATATGTTATGGGTGTAGTGTGTGGGTGAGTATATGTTGTGGGTGTAGTGTGTGGGTGTGTATGTGTTTTAGTGTAAGGTGTGGGTGTGCATATTTTATGAACACCCGGTGTATATATGTTTGAGTGTAGTGTGTCTGTTTTAAGTATGTGAGTGTATATGTACCTCTTGCATGTAGTTTGATACATATCTAGTTGACCATGGGCTATCTCTTAGGCTATTGAGTGGTTGTCGTTGCTGAGCGTGTAGTGTTTGATTAAAGAGATGAGTCCAATTGTTGTGCATTTTAGAGTTTAAACCCTAAAACCTAAAACTATCATTGACAGAGAAGTTAATCGACCACCAAAGTTAAGTTACCAGTTGGGGTACGTGAGATTTGAATAACGTTTATATAAAGTGTGACTGCCACGAGCCATCGTCACACGGTTAATGCAAACATACACTCACCACACCCAATCTAATAACACACCCCCACTACACACATATGACTCATATGCACTCTTTCAATTTATAGACACAGACTATCGGGGGCTTCTGCTGCGGCTGCACGGGGACGGCGGGTCGCTGCAAGACGCCTACACCAAAATAGACCAACGGCTCAAGCGGGCAGCCGAGTACGTCAAAACATGGTACAACTACCAGGCACTCTGGGACATGGACCTCGAGAAAGGTACACAAGCAGGCAGGGGATGCACTTTAAGGGGGGGGGATGTGTATATGTGTATGTGTGTGCATACGTGTGCACGTATGTAGTTGTGTATATGTGTATATGTGTGTCATGTGTGTTTGCGTATATGTGTATGTGAGTATATATGTGTGTCCGTGTGTGGATGTGTGTGTATGTGTATGTCTGTATGTCTGTATTTGTGTACATGTGTATTGTATGTGTGTATGAGGTATGTATGAATATGTGTATATGTGTATATACACACACACATATATATTTATATATATATATATATGTATGCGTATGTGTATGCGTATGTGTTCATTTGTGTGTGTTTTCATATATCTGGGTTGAGTGCTAGGAATCTATTCGTGGATGATGTGTGCCATAGTCTGCAAGTACTTGTCACACGGATGAACCTATTAGGTATGTACCTACATCTCTCATATATGCTTCCTTATAGTGGGCTGTCCGTTGTAGTGACCATCCCTTCCCTCCCATGAGACTACCACACATGCGTATAAGCATAGTGGTCTGCTCAGTGTTAGGGTCACAGCAATGTACTACGATTGCCTGAGTGCACATGCATATTATTATATTGTGGGGTCGCTGTTGTACGCATATTTATATTCGTGTAACGATTCCGTTTATTCACATGTTCTGGTCTGTATGTTCACAATCTCCGAGAATACGACCGATGAAATGATCAGGTCCGAGATACTTGCCGTTTGAGTGCGTGTTGTATCCGTACCTACCAGACTAGATGGACCGTCAGTGGTTAGTTTCTCTAAATAGTACCAGGGCCCTGATCTAACAATTTCTCATAATTCATCTCCGTGTATGCAGTCACCGCTAAACTGGGAGATGACAACACCATGTGGCTGCAACTGCTGGTGGAAATCCAGGAAGCAAGACGGTGAGCTACATTTATATG